TAACTGAACAGGCAATTTAATACCACAGAAAGACAAGCAGTTTTTTTCCCAACCTTCATCTCCTGAACCAGCTAGCTGTGGGGCTGGAGAAGAGTCAGGCCAACACAAGGGAGCTGGCAAGAAAAGCAACCAAGTCCAGTGCTGTCTCCAGGAAGCCTGAACAAGCACCTCACCTGTATTTTCCCCCAGTCTTTCTTCCAAAGGGAAATCTACAACAGACTTTCAAAAGATGAGCCTAAAAATTGAAATACCTAATTCTGCCAAATCTAATGATTGCAGACTCATTTTATGCATTTCACAGAGCAATGAAATTTGCTTCCCACATGCTTCAGGGTGCCACAGGTGCTCTCACGCATTGCTTCTCCCCTTGCCAGCTGGCCTTGCTGCCCCACTGGTATAAAGCGTGGGGCTGATTGAGTCAGGGCTGAAGGATGAAATTTGTCGCAGAGCAGCTGTCCCCACCCAGGCTGCCCTGCAGCTTTGATCAGGGGCTAGAGTGGAGGCTGCAGAAATGTGGTCTTTCAGCAGACTGCCTGATCTATTGGGAGCAGTGTCTTTTTAACAAACCTTATCTCTGTATGTGTAATTAGTTATGCAAAGTTCAAAGAAGAGCCTTGGATGATGCAGAAAGCTGAGTTTGCTAATGAGAGTGGGTCTAATTGCAGAGCAGATGTGTGATCAAGATGGAGAGCTGGCTCAGAGCACAGCCTTTTGGGGCAGAGCTGGCAAGGGTGGATACGCTGTTAGCATGGCTGCATCAGGACATTCATTGCTGCAAGTGTGCTGTTTGGTCATCATCTTTACAGGAAAATAGCTTCATTTTTATTTCTTAATGTGATGTATACAGTAGTTTGAGGGTGAAGCTGCGGTTGGATCCTGGGCTTGCTGCTATCAGTCATGCAGCATTAGGTTGTAAATGGTTGCAATCTTCTGAAGATATTTTTGCAGGTGTAAAACCTCTTTAAAGGCAGATGTGTAAGTGACTTTTCCCCAGTGTGCAATTATGGGGTTGAGGGTTAATTTGTGCAGCTAAAAGGAGGAGGTCTCTAATCCATGTATCGTGTTTAGAACCGATTGATACCAGCTGTCATTTTAGATGTTGGTGATGCAACAAAAAGCTTTTTGTTTACGTCTGGTTGCAGGAATGACAAGTGTGTGCAAGCATTCATAAGCTGTTAATGCAGACAGGGGTTCATTATCAGACTCAGGCAGTCAAATATTGTGAGTCAGTATCTTCCACCTCCTTCCCAATCCATCTCCCAAATTTAATTTACAAATTAAAAAGAGTTTATTAAAAAGTAGCACTGGGTTCTTATCTCAATTGCCTTCTGATTTTTGAATGCTTACACTTTACGCTTTCACACTTCACTTCAAACTATGCTGCTTTCCTGAATGAACATGGTGATTGTGACTCAGAGAACTGAGATTTTAAAAAGAAGAAACAATGTATTTCCAAGAAAAATAGCCAGCCCACTGGCTTCTACCTTATAAATAGTCTAGCAGGTCTCAGGGATCTTCTCTCCTTATCACCACTTCACCACAATGCTGCATGTCTGGGTTTAAAGCAGCTACAACTCTTCATCCCAGCAGTGGTGACAGTGTGGCTTCACGTCCCATGTCTGAGAAAACCCATTCACCTGAGTTGTTTCCCAAGTGCAGCCAAAAGAGTTGCCTGATGCTGATCAGAGGGTCTTGGTGATGGTATCTGCAGGCACAGATGGCATTTGTCATCTGGAAGCAGAAGGTCCTAGTCCTCAGGTGGGAGAGAGCCAAAGGGATGAGTTGAACAGGAGAGAAATGCCTGATCATAGGTGGATGATCCTCAAAGGGCAGAAAATACGGTAGGATTAAGCCAGAGGCAAAGGTTCAGGGAAGTGTTGTCATGGAGGAGACTGGTGGGACAGGGTTGTAACTTTATTATTGCCTTTGCCCTCTGGGGCCCATCATAAACACACATGGGGAGTTACACACAGTCTGCTGTGCCAGCACGGCACTGAATCTGATGACCTGAGCTGCCACATCATTCCGAAGCTCTTCTATCTCTAGAGGGCTGTCAGGGCACAGGACACCAGGAAGCCCCAGGGCCCTCCCTGCTCCTGCATAGGTGTCCCCAAGGCCAGAAGTGATGTCCCTCCTGGGCTCAGCGTGTCTCATGGGAGGTCTCTCAGCCCCAGGGGTGTACTGGTTCCAGCCCGCCTCTGAAATGATGTTTTGGCCGGCCTGGGCCAAACGTGCTGCAGGTGCTGCGAGGGAACCTGCGGTGCCCTGTGCTCAGTGTGTCCCAGCACTGAGCTCTGCAAGGTGCAGCAAGGGCAGGAGCGGGCACTCCCCTCCTCCAGCCTACTGTGCGCCTGGCTGGGGGGGGGAGGGGGGGGGGGCCCAGCCACTGTGGAGTGCAGTGCATAACAGAGGGGTGACCCACTCTTGAGGCCATGGGAGCAGAAACCTTGGCATCATCCTGGCACCGTCCTGCCTGACCCACCGCCTGTCCCCTGGGCCACTGGCCCTGTCACACAAGGCCTTGGGCCATGCAGTGCGGGCAGCACCTCTTCAGGGAGTGGCACAGTTGTCACCTTGGTGGCAGGGGGGCAAGGAAGGCCACTTCTTGGGGTCCTTTGGCTGCTGGAGCAGCAGGGAGAGATGGCAGTGCCAGGGATAGCAGGTCTGTCCCGTCCTCGCTCCTGCTGAGGGCTCAAAAGAGGCCCGTGGAGCTGAGGGGAGCAAGGATGATGGGGGCATCGGGCGGGGCAAGGATGGGTGTTGTGTCCGATGTGGTCTCTTCGGCCTCACTCTCCACATCCTCCAAGCTCTCGCTGACAGAGGGGATGATCTGCACCACCTTCTCCTGGAAGTGCACTTGCTTGTGTGGGGCTGGCAGGGCAGCGGGTTGGGCAGGACCTAGGGGGGCTAGGCTCCTGTCCGTGCTGCCCTTCAGGATGCTCTTCACGTGGCCCAGCAGCGAGCGGTGCTGCTCCCTCTGGGCCCCAGGGAAGGTGTAGGTCTGCTCAGTGTCACCAGCGATGGTTGGGGCTGCCATGGCAGCAGAAGGGTCCACGTACTG